AGGTGGGAGACCTGATTGAGGCTGCAGGAGATGAATTGCAGGAGAGCAAGGTCTTGGAACTCTCAGGTGGATAGTCTTGAGAGCAGGGGCCTGGAACTGCAGCTAAAGGACCTTGGGACAGAAAAGTTAATGACTCTCGGGTGGGTGACTAGGGAATGGTGATCACTGAATGGGATTGGAGAGCTGCTGCACTGTATTCTTATTTTACTTTGAGAGGAATTTTTTTCCTGTGATGGATCTGGACAGTGGAACTTTCTATGAATAAAAGTGGTTGAATTTGCCACTGACAGATAAAATATGCTTTTGAATGGGTGGAAAAAGGAGAAACTGAGGTAGGTCGCACACGTGTTGCCAAAGTTAGCCACAGGAGGTGTTGAGGTTTCCTAACAACACAATGCAATGCTGCATCATAGTGACAACATATGGGACCAGAAAGTTATTTTAGGGTCCTTTAAAATTTTGCAAGTTGATCTATAGTTCCTGGTACCAAGTATCAGAGGGGTAGCCGTGTTAACCATACATCTGAAGAAGTGGTTTTTTTTACCCACAAAAGCTTATGCCCAAATAAATCTGTTAGTCTTTAAGGTGCCACCTGACTCCTCGTTGTTTTTACAGTTCATGAGTTCATCTTGTATAAAATGGGACAAGGCTGGAATAATGTGCATTGGGGCCAACCAGGTTTTCCTCTTATTTCCCCCCCCAAGTATTAATAATACTTGGAATTCCTAGGATGGAATATGTACAAAGAATTTAATGAACACTAGTTAAGTCAGCCTCCCAACATCCCTGTGAAATAGGTAGGTATTATTATCCCTATTTTCTAGCACAGTAAGAGACAAATTAGAACCCATGTTTTCTGACTCTCAGCCCAGTGCTTTACCATGAAGGCAAGGCTGCTACCCCTTCATACTTGTGAGTGCATCTCTTTCTCATGCACTCCTGCTCTGATTCTGGTTTAAAGCTGTGTGACTAATTGATTTGTCAAAACACTGACTGTTTTGAAAATTAACAAGAAAAATCATTTTGGGTCAACCTGAAACAATTTTTTTTTTGGGAGAACTGATTGTGGGAGGGGAAGGGAAAAAAAAATCTTTGTATGACCTGAAATGAAAAGTTGTTTCATTTTTGAGCTTTTAAAAGCCATTTATTTATTTTTTGAAAATGAATTTGAAATAAATTTTGAAACAGTCATTTCAAATTGAAAAACTGAAATGTTTTATTGAGAAAGTGTCACAACGAAATGCTCAGATTTTTTCTATTTTTCATTTTTTTAACAAAAATGATGTGAATTCAACACAAATTCATGAAATGTTTCAGTTGACAGAATTCATTTTTAGTGGAAAAAAGCTTCTGCCAAAAAATTTTTTTCACCCAGCTCTCTTTCTACTTTCATTCCTGTTCCTTCTCATTCACTCCGTTATTCACTCACACGTATTCAGTCAGTCACTATCAGTCACCATCTCATTTGCTTACCTCAGGAGAGCAGGAAGTGGTGATTCAGCATTCAGGGCTAAGTGGTTCCCGTCAGTAGGCACAGCAGGACAGAAAGGCAGCTGTTCAGGTCTGTGGAACTCCTGCTAAGTGGCATTAAAGTTCTGCATGGTGTCTGACTGCCTGTGTGTGGCCATGCATATACACTACACAGAGATGACAGGTGGCATCAATACCTCTCTCATGTCTCACCTAATCACTCTTCCAATGTCCTTCACTCAGGCCCAGATCCTGCAAGATGCTGCAGGATCTCAACTCTCTTTGAAGTTAATGAGCTTTGAAAGTGCTCAGTGCCCCGCAGGAGGCACTCAGGAACTTGCAGGATCAGGTCCTTACTCAGTCATTCATGCCTGAGATGTTAGGAGGGTGTCTCACTTCCAGGGTTGTCTCAAACTCTTTGGATTCTCAGCCATGAGTACTGTAGTTGCCATTGCTGAAATTACTGTAATTGTGAAAATGATGTTGAATAGAGTAGGTGAGAAGTAGACACACATGTCCTGCAAAGGCAGGCTGAAAGGAAGATAGTTATTGAATTCTAATTCTGTTGTCCTGATTCACCTACAGTGGTACCATGTTTCCTCTATCTAGCTATCTGTGGCTCTCAACCTGTTTACCATTGTGGGCTACATATGCAGCTCTCTGTGTGTTATGTGGGCTGCATCCACACAATATACCACTTCTATGGCTTGGAGGATGTTACATGGGCCACAGCTGTGTGCTGATTGTTCTGCAAATAGCTCACAGGTTGAGAACTACTGATTATATTGTGACAAAGTTCCTCCTCTATCTTGGTGGATCCTGTGCTTATTGGTGGATTTTCTTGCCTCAGAGATTCACCATGCGGGTTGGGGAACAGCCCAGAGACCTTCCCGTCTGGAAGAACCCACAGTACAGGTCAATTGGGAGGAACCCAGGCCCACCCTCTACTCCGGGTTCCAGCCCAGGGCCCTGTGGACTGCAGCTGTCTATAGTGCCTCCTGTAACAG